ACTGTTGTACCAGCCTCCCTGCTGCACAGCAAGTTCTCTGCCTGAGCTCCTTGATGGGATTTCCGGGTTGGCAGTGGAATTCCCCAGACTTATGGTCTTGGAGGACTTCCATTTGTCTTCTCTAGGGATGGGGTCTGAGGGGGCTCGGGAGTTCATGGCCACCATGACAGCCATGAGCCTATCCCAAATCACCCAGAGCTCAACATGGAACAGTGGTCATATACCAGATCTGGTGTTCCTGTCACAGTAGTGGCTACATGATTTGAAATTGGGGGAGCTTTTGGTGTAGCCCTTGTCATGGTCAGATCATGCCCTGATTACAATGGGATTCCCTAGCACTGCTATCCACTGCAGGGAGGCTGGACCTATTAGATTGGTTTGCCCCCGCCGACTAATGGACCTGGATGGGTTCCAGTGGGAGCTGGGGGTTGTTCCTGTTGGTCTGCTGAACGGTCCATTTGAAGCCTTGGTAGCCGCTTAGAATAAAGGGGCAGCTGAGACTTTGGATTGGATCACGCCCATGCAACCTCTCTCCTCTCGGGGATCCCGGCACTCTCTGTGGTTTACGGAAGAGCTAAGGGAGAGGAACCGAGAGAAGAGACGTACAGAGCATCACTGGCATTTGACAAGGGATAAACTCAACTGAACACGGGTTAGAGCAGCTATTCATGCCTACTTAGTGGCGACAAGGGCGGCAAAGCATCATTACTCCTCTGCTCTTATTGTGTCCACAGAGAGCTACTCCGCAGCCCTGTTTTGGGTGACACGAGTCCTCCCGGGTAAGGATGGCTTGGAGGCCCTTCTGCAGGGACGTGTGGAGGAATTTTCTCGGCATCTGTCAGATAAAATTGCTCAGATTCATTCTCAGCTGGCTTTACTGCAGGTCCCATGGAGTTGCTGGGGAGGAGTCTTGCCCTATTATCTGGGAATGGTTTGAACCTGTTGGACCTGAGGAAGTGGACAGGGTCCTTGGGGCTGTGAGCTCAGCCACCTACTCTTTAGATCCATGCCCCTCCTGGCTTGTGAAAGCAGTCCAGGGGGTGTCATGCGAGTGGGTTCTAGAGATGGTTAATGCATCTTTGAGTGAGGGGGTTGTTCCCTCACCTCTTAAGGAGGCCTTGGTTTGCCCCCTCCTCAAGAGGCCATTGCTAGACCCCACTATCCTGGACAATTTTCATCCAGTGTCTAACCTCCTGTTTTGAGGGAAGGTGATTGAGAAGGTGGTTGCGCAACAGCTTCAGAGGACCTTGGATGAAGTAGATTATCTGGATCCCTTTCAGTTGGAATTCAGGCCTGAGTATGGGATGGAAACAGCATTGGTTGTGTTTTTGGATGATCTCTGGTGAGGGCGGGATGGGAATTGTGCATCCATCCTTGCCCTACTTGACCTCTCAGCGGCTTTCGATACCATCAACCATGGTATCCTTCTGGATTGGCTCAGAGGATTGGGGGTGGGCGGCACTGTGGTGCTGGTTCACCTCATTCTTCCTGGGCTGATTCCAGTCAGTGGTGGTTGGGGAGGAGAGATCCCACCCTCAGCCCCTGTTATGTGGGATGCCACAGGGTTTGGTGCTCTCCCCCCTCCTATTTAACATCTACATGAGGCTGCTGGGTGAGCTCATCTGTCGCCATGGGGTGAGGTATCATCAGTATGCTGATGATACCCAATTATACATCTCTGCCCCTGGTGAATTAAGCAATGGTGTGAATATCTTATCCTGGTGCCTGGAGGCTGTGAGGGTCTGGATGGGGAACAACAGGCTTCAACTGAACCTTGGCAAGACTGAGTGGCTGTGGGTTCTGGGGCTTTCTGGTGCTAGAGTTATGCCATCTTTGGCACTGAATGAGGTTGCACTGCCTCAGACAGACCCTGTGCGCAATCTGGGGGTCCTCCTGGACTCACGACTCCTGCTTGAAGAGCAGGCGGCAGTCGTGGCTAGGAGGGCCTTTGCACAGGTTCGTGTTGTGCACCAGTTGCGCCCATTCCTAAAAGAGGGACCTAATCACTGTCACTCATGACCTGGTCACCTCCCATTTGGATTTCTGTAATGTGCTCTACATGGGGCTGTCCTTGAAGAGTATCTGGAAGCTTCAGCTGGTGCAAAATGCATGGGCAGTTATGTGTGCCCCTAGGGCAGTACATGTTACACCTCTGCTTTGTGAGCTGCATTGGTTGCCAGTTTGTTTCTGGGTCCAATTCAAGGTGCTGGTTTTGACTTTTAAAGCCCTTCACAGCATGGGGCCGGAATACCTGAGGGACCACCTCTCCCCGATTACATCTGCCCGTCCCATCAGATCTGGCAGAGAAGACATACTGCAGATCCCATCTGCTAGAGAATTACATTTGGCGGTTCCCAGGAGGAGGGCCTTCTCTGCTGTGGCGCCTGCCTTGTGGACTCTTCTCCCCCAAGAAGTGAGGTTAGCTCCATCCCTCTTAACATTCCGTAAGTCCCTCAAGACCTGGTTATGTGATCAGGCCTGGGGCTCCCAGGGGACTGGGGAGATTTTATGATGGTTCCCTTATTAATTTTATCCCCTCCTGTTTTGTGTGTTTTTACAGTTTTTTATGTGTAATTGTTTTTATGTATTTATTCTTTTTAATTGTTGTACGCCACCTATGTGTAATTGTTTTTATGTATTTATTCTTTTTAATTGTTGTACGCCACCTATGTGTAATTGTTTTTATGTATTTATTCTTTTTAATTGTTGTACGCCACCTTGTGTGAGATGGGCAGCTATATAAATATGATAAATAAATAAATAAGGCTGGGAGTCATATGATTATGGCAGTTTAGAAATCTAATAAATAACATGAAACCCTTATTTATCAGCTGATAAAATATGGGCCAGAAGTCACTGCTATTAGGTAGATTCACAGCTGAATCTACAATAAGCTGAACAAACATACCTCACAAGTCTTGAACGGCCTCTTGTCATATATCTAATAAATAAATAGTCTAATGCTATTCAATATATTTTAAAAATTATTTGGACAAAAACGTAAAGGAAATATTTACCAGATCACAGGTATAGTTAACAAATAGTTAGGAAATACTTTAGAAGGCAGAATATAAATTTGAAATTAGGATAACAAGTTGAAACACTTTCCTTAAACCAATGACATGAAATTTAAGATAGGTAATTACAATATCCTTCAATTAGACACAAAAAATCCAAGGTACAACTAGATGGAAAGACCAGTTTGTTAGATGGCAATGATGTACAGACACAAGAGTCTTAGTTGAGCATGAACCACAACTACAGCCATATACTGTAGTTGATAAAAAAAAATAAAGTGAATGATTAGTCTGGATTAATAAAAAAATAATGTCCAGCTTATGAGAGGCAATAGTTGCAATGTATTCTGTGTCAGGACACATATAAAGTACTATGTTCATTTTAAGAATGACATCAGCATATAGAAGCAGGTACAGAAAAAGTAAGGGCTGTGAGATGGTTGGAAACAAGTTACTGCAAGAAATAATTTGAAAGACTGAAGCAGAAAAAAGAGAGACGTGGTCTTTTAATACTGAGGCACTGTAAATGTCTATTGCTTCTCCAAATGTAGGACTGGAACCAAAACCTAAAAATTATGCAGGAAGAGATTTTAGCAGAACACCAGCATAATTTTCCTAATGGGAACAAAACATTTGACAGAGAAATAAACTGCACTGGGAACTGAAGTGCAAACAGGAGATATTTAAGCAGAGGACAAATGGGGTTACATGTTGCAATGCGGACATCTTCTAGTTCTATGATTCTAATCTCATTGTATGAATCCATAATATGGATTCACTGCATGGTATTGATTTACAAAATAGCCATATAGAATTGCTCATCACTTTACCTACTCATCACTCAGAAACGCAGATATATCAGAAAACACATGTGCAAAAAGACAACCATGTTACCTGATAGTACAAGGATGTAGCTGATTTTCAAAAAATGAGGAAGGAGTCTTTAAGACACTGGCTGAATTCTGCAAAAATGGCTTTTCTTCTTGGCTCTAAAGAAACCATAGGATAAAGAATGAACCATAGGCTAACCCTCATCTCATTAATGTTAATGTTGAATCCGAGTACTGAAATCCTTACTTCCACACAATTTATGTATTTTATGTCTCCCATTATATTACTACATTCAGAAATTCTTAATGCGCTGAAATATAGAACTCAAGTTTCAAACTTTCGCAATGGATCAGTTTATGTCAGATGATAAGAGTCACTTACTGTGAGGGCATAGAATTTTACATAGCTTAAAATCTGGGTTGTTCAAATGCTTTATTAGATCTTCCAGCTGTGGAATGATTACTGCTTTTGTGTCAAATTAAGATGGAGGCAAAATCTGCATTCAATACTTTATCAAACTTAGATATCCCAACTTTGTTTTCAGCTGACAAATGCAAAAGTTATTCTAAAAGTAAAAATTAAGACACCAAAATACCTGCAAGCTTCTTGTTTCCTCAGACCACCAAACTTCAAAGTCTTTTTGCAACTTCAGCTTTCCTTTTTCCATAAGGAGCTGCAAGTGTTCAATCTCTATCTTCAGCCCTTTCAAGTGAGTAAACATTGTTTTATAACTGCAAAATAGAAAAGGTATTACAGAACGATAATCTGAGGCAACTAAAAAAACTATTGCCAAATGTTAACATCTCTCTCCATTTGCTACCCTGCCCATAGATGACAAGATGGGAAAGACTGATTTGTTCCTTGTTGGGTATTTCTCTTTCTCTGTCTCCTTTGTTTGAAAAAAATTATAAAGAGTTTGGAAAGCAAATCATGCAATATATGAATAGAAACATCTTCCTCTAAATATTAGTGGCATACTCATCTGGCAAAGAAATGCCCATCAGAGAGGTCAAACAGAATTCTCACTGAATAAAGAAATACTCATGATAAGATCCCCTTGGCAAGCAGGAACTCTCCAAGTCTATTCTCAGAGGTTGTGGCTAAACCCTGAGAAGGGCTCTGAGAACTCAAGTGTATGCAGTTCTATAGAACGAGTTGCTTGAATGAGGTCTATTCTATAGTTCTTTGATTTCAGTCTCACCATACTGCCTTGGATTTTCTCATGTGCTCTGACCTTGAACTATCTTTGGTCTTTGCCCCTAGAACAACCTTCAACTGTTCTCTTGCCAGCTTCCACTATTTCTGTGTTCCAGTTTAGCAAGAAGCCCAAAGCAAGCAATTGGCACCAAGGCTTGGGGAGGCTCTGCTTGAAAAAGGATATTAGCTAATTATGAGAAAAGAGAACATTTATGATCTTTCTTAAATTGACTGACAATCTAGCCAAATCTATATTTTCCCATTGCTGAAATATGGTCCACATATAATTAGCTATTAAGCTAACTTCATAGCACATCTGAAATGTATACATGTTACTTAATTCTTAACAACATACTGTACACAGAAAACATACATACTTTTTAACATATAATAATCAAGCTAAGAGAACCTTATTTTCTTCTGTTCAATTTGTGTTCGAAGTGCCTCTTCTACTGGATCAGGTTGATTCATTTCTCGAGGACTGACTACAGCTGCAAGTTATAATCACTCAGTGTTAGCAATTACAGAAATAAAGCCAAAGGACAAAATTTATGTAGTGGAATAATTACTCTATCTATCTATCTATCTATCTATCTATCTATCTATCTATCTATCTATGAGGCAGCAGCAGACATGGGAGGAAGTTCAAGTGGAGGAAGTACCATGGCAAGACAAGCTCCTGCATGGGATGTACCACTGACAGATAGCAGAGGTGGCTGACATTGGGAAATCCTATCAGTGGCTGGAAAGGGCCCGACTAAGAGACAGCACTGAGGCACTGATCATAGCAGCACAAGGACTGGCACTAAGCACCAGATCCATAGAA